TCTCCACTTCTTTATATTATTTATTTAAACATGTTAATTAATTATTTCGTTTTAAATGAGAAAATTATTTTCTTTTTGGTTTGAGCGATAAGTTTTTAAAGGAAAATTTATTTTTTTTGAAAAAAGTACTGTACGGGTGTAGCCTAAATGCTTTTCCGGTTAAAATGGGTAAGCGAATTCTATTGTTAGAGTTTTCAATCATTCTGCGGGTATTGTGTGAATGAATGATAATAAATCATTATTATTTTTTGTCGATTAAAGCCTTGCATGAGTTATCCTTTCGAAAATCTCCTAGGCTACTTTTTAATTCCATATCGAATATTCCGAAAATATTCGGCAATAAATTTCCGTAGCTAAAGTTCGACGACGAAAGTTAAAATAAAGAATAAAATGTCATAATTTAATTTATTATAGAATTAAAATTGAAATATAACATTACTCGGTTGTTTTGTCTTGTTATAAGCAATTATTTTAATAAGACGGCCGGATGGCCGAGCGTCAAGGTTCGATCTGGGTCCTTCAAAGCCTACCGCTCTGGGAGACCCGGGTTCGAATTCGGACGGGTGGATAAATGCCCAGGAATTTTTCGGGGGTGGTCCGACAGGATATGTCGGACCCCGTTTCTCACCACCCTGCCGTCTTAGTGCCCACAGGGCGGAAAGAGTAAAAATAATTGTTTTAGTAGTGTTCATATTTGATTTTGTGTTTTCGCAGGTAAAATTTAAAATAATGTAAATGAATATTTCTTCGTTAGGTTTATATATAAATGCATAAAATAGCATAAAAGTTAGAAATTCGTAACCATTACGAGATAGAAAAATATTCGGTACGAGAATATTTGGCTTCGATTTTTGGACTTTAGTCAAACCGCTAAATTGTGAAATAAAATTATTTATAAATTGTGTATAAACAATACATTGTTTTAATAGAATTCTTTTTGTATTTGTTAACTACGATTTTATTTCTGAATTAATAATTCAAAATCAGTTTAATCTTCAAAAATCTTTTGTAGATTACAATTTATTATATAAAATCTGAATTTTATATTTTTGTTTAATAGTTCTTGTAACTGATGTACTGTACGCCTTTTGAAGTAAAATTAATACTGTATATGAAAAACTATTTTACATTTAAATTCTTGAATAAATTGAATTTTATTTTAATCCTCGAATTTAAGTAATGTTTAAATCTCAATACCTTGCTATATATATTATTTTTAATAAGTTTCTTGTTTTTATTTTAGTGTCTGTTTTATATTAATTATTAAGTGGCATATCCAGCGGCGTACCCAGGATCTGAACTAGAGGGGGCAACTCATATTACTTTCTAGGAAGTGGGGAGGGAGAGAGAGATTTCAAGACAGATGGCTCTAGTCTAGTCACAATATTCATTATTCAACCTGATACTAAATTGATACGTCTGTGCTGTGTGTCAATTACTACACTTTAATTTTCTTTCTAGGGAGGGGCAGCTGCCCCTCCCTGCTCCTCGCTGGGTACGCCTTGGGCTTATCCCATCAAAGTAAACCGAAACCAAACTCGATGTGAGCCTAGTCGAACCTAAGATGATACGGTAAAAAGGCCTTGTAGTTCCCACAGGGCGAAAAGAGTCAAAAATAAAAAAGATGAAAGACAATGTTTTATTTTTCTGTCTACTTCATAAACGGCGTGGCACAGAACAATATAATCTTTTCGACTTTTTCGGCCTTCTAAATTTTTAAGACACCAGTTACTTGTCTTTCTGCCCAGTGTACACATTAAGGCCTAATACGTCGACCGAAACGTAAGCTAAAAATTGCATTCGATGGTCTTTCTGTATCAAATTTAAAGACAAACGGGAAGGAAGTACGAAAAATCAAAAGATATGCCATCTGCTAGCTATGATTTGCCTGATAAAAATGGTGCTGGAGAAAATTTGTGTCGTATTTACTGCCAGAAATGTTATCGTCACGGGCACGTTAGTTGCATCATTACTAAACGGCCTTCCTATTGGTCTATTTTTTACCATTCCGCTTTCCGCGACGGAAAAAGTTGAAAACGTTTAACATTATATTCTATCGGCTTCGATGATAAACATTTTAAGCTTCCGTCGTCCGTTTCTGCATGCGAATACTAGACCTAAAAAGGCCTTTTTGTCTTTCTCATTATGGGTTTGACTAGGCTCTTAAGACAACCGGTTTAATGGAATAGAAAGGACCCGATAAATCTAGTACAGTAATTCGTTTATGAGTTACCTTAATCCACATAAAATATCAGCAAACAACACATGTTTGAATAATATAATTAACTTAATATCCACGTGTTTAATTTGTAATTAACCTTCAAAACATTTCGCTTTTCAAAAAGATATTACGTATTCTTACGACACGCAAATTTTATAAGAAAAAAAAACGTTCGTGTTAAATAGCAGAAATTTAAAACAGCGTTTTAAATTAAAAAATGAAATAAAAACTATAAAATTTCAGTAAAATATAATAGCGTACAACGAAAGGAATTAAAGTTACATAAATAGTGAAAACAATAATTCGTCTTTGAATTCGATTGTGTACATAACAAAGTGTTTTAGAAAAACATAACTATCAAATATTTTGTGGAAAATATAAAAATATTTTCGGCATTTTTTCAAAAAAAAAAAAAAAAAAAACTTTTTAAGGCTTGTTTGGAAATGCTAACTGGTTACATCATTCTTTTTGAATGATTTCCAGTCTCACCACTTAGCATTTCCAAACAAGCTCTAAGAATGCAATAATAATAATTCTAATTACAGTATTATGGAGACCAGGGCTGGTTTACCATTAAGCAAAACTAGGCAATTGCCTAGGGGTGCCAGCTTTAATTGTAAACAAAGAAAATTTAGATCATTAATTACTATTAATTAATAAAAATTTTAAAAAATGTTCATAATGATATTTTTTTATAAATATCAACATGTGGGTATAAGTGCTTATGTATGATGATAATACAGTGTATATATATATATAAATACCCCTATACATTGTATATATATATATATATATATATATAGACAATGTATAGGGATGTGTAAATTTTACTTTGCCTAGTGGTATCAGATACTCTTGCACTGGCTCTGATGTAATCTAAAGATATTGTAGAGCATAATTATCCAAATTCCTTTAAATAAATAAACAATATAATCTTTAGAGTTTTTCATGTACAATGATATCATTCATAGATAATGGTAATGAGGTGACTTTGTTTTAATGTAATGAACCTAATAAAGGTATACATTAGAATATCACTTTAATTCTTTATTTTGCTAACTGAGCTTGGGGAAACTAAAACTGAAGAAATTCATCAGAAATGTTTTTGACAAATTTCTTCAATTTTGATTTCCTCAGATTACCAGAATAAAGAATAGTTATCATCATGGTGCAAAGATTTAAATATTTTAATGATTCTAATGTATATTTGCAAGAATTCCTTTGTAAAACTTCTCATCACACAAAAATCTACTTTCATTAAATTAAGCACTATACAGAATCATTAACCTAACACAATTAGTACTCAAAGAAGATATAAACTGGCAATGATTTTACCAGCTAACATTATCTAGACACTAATATCATCTATATTATATGTTCAAAGTGGCAGATGACATTGACAGTTGTCAAAACATTGCACCATATGTTATAAATCTGAATAAGTTGAGGACTCACTGTAATTTTATATTAATTAAAAAGTAACTTTTTTTGTTAAAAAGTTTTTCAAAAATTTTCTATTTAAGAAATTTCAATCAGATTTGGATTTCCACATGGATTTATAAGTTTTTTGCTATCATATGATATTTAACATTCAAACTGATTGATTAATTCACATTTATGTTTCACAGAAATATTTATAATCACAATTACCAAAATGTTTGAAGTTTGCTAAATAAAATTTTAAGATTTTGAAATAATAAAATAATAATAATTTATAATTATTAATTCTAGTCTCAAACATTTACAACTGAGCTTGATTAATTCTTAATTATTGTAATAAATGAAATCTTTACCTAACTCTGATTATATGAACAAATATTTAATTACTGTATTTACTCAGGCATAAGACAATCTCACATTAGGAAGAGGTGTGACTTTATAGATCAAAATAAAGAAAATTAGATTTATTAATACAATTCTAATTTTTATTTCATTTAATCACAAAATATTATCAAATTCACATTTGCCTTAATATGTGATGAATGGAAAACAAAACCAAAACATTATAGTGGGCGTGACAAGAAAAAGTTTATTTTTAGTGATTCAGAATGTGCTAATATTCATTAAAAATAACAATTTAACTAATATAAAATAACTACATTTATAACCATTGCTAAGTGACCTGTATTTCATTAATGTTTTTATAAATAATGAGAAACTATTTTCTTTGAACAAATGAGATGCAACACGGTTTTTAATTGTTGGATGTAGGATTAAACCAATAAACAAAGGAGTGTGTGTCTTAATCTGTTTACAGTAGGTGCCAACTTATGATAATTAGACTGTAGACCTATAATGACAGTATGAAATATACACGGTTTACAGAAATTATTGCAAAAATGCAAAGAATCCTTTGTTTGTGCATATAGGATGACCTAGGTTTTTGAAACAGTGAAAAATGAATAAAAACCTCATCTTATATGCAAGTAAATATGGTAATTTGGAAAATCACAAATTTAGAATTAACCAAAAAAAGAATCAATTTTTGTTCTTTTATTCATTTATAAAATAGTGTTATATATGATTTGATTTAATTGTATACAATTAAATCAAAGACTTTATTTTGCTTCCACTTGATAGTGATGTGATACGATGAAAGTGATTTCATTCCAGATTTTTATGTGGTGGCATGTGACTTCTGATGTGATGTGATGTAAAAATGAAGTAAAATTCTGCTGTAAATCTACATGTTTATTAAAACTAAAAAATTTATATATATATTTGTTTCAATTAAAAGAATTATTTTTTAAGTTTTGCTTTTGTTTTCAAATATACTTACTTTTGTTCCAACTACAAAACTAGCAGAAACAGCTAAGCCGTGAGTAAAATTATCTATACTGTTAGCCATTAAATTTAAATATCCAGTAACCTGCAAAACAAAATTATTATATAAAAAATTTACCAAGTTTTTGAAACTGCAAAAACAACAAGATAAATGTATGTACTTGTATTGTTTCGGATTTAGATGATAAAGATGATTTATCTTGAGAATGAGTGGTTGACTTGGATTGTTTAGTTGCACATCCATTAGAAATGACTCCATTTGTTGATTTACAATGTTTAATATTTCCATTTGTTAATGAATGAGAAACAGATAATTCTTTATTAGATTTTTTCTCTTCAGAATCTTGTTTCTTTGAAAAAATTAAAAATTAGATTAAATTCTAAAATCTCCTAATAAAAAGAAAATTTTAAATAAAATTCTTACATTTTCTTGTGATGTTTCCTGAGATAATGAAAACATTATTTCTACAATAACAAAAGTGAAGATACCAAGAAGAATCCAGATCCCTAATGTTAGATATGCTGTCCGGTGATTTGACCCTGCTAAAATATGAAACAAACATTTGTTTTAATAAAACCATAAAATTTACGTAAGATATCTTTATCTGTTATAAATGAAATCATAGCAGGATATCCTAATTCTGATGATAAATTCTACTTCATCATGGCAATAATATAAAATTTATTAGGACAGTTTATTTGCACACATCCTGTAAATTATATATTTATTCAGCTTGCATATTATAATATATATTAATTCTTACTTTTTTTAACTAAATATAATTATAAATATAAAATTTCATACACTTTTGTAAGTGATTCCAAGCTTCCGGAAGGAGATGGAGAAAAACATCACCCAACAGACCACCAACAGCAAAACTTAAAAGTAACCGGAGAGTTTTTGTTCCTATAAAGAATGAAATCATTAAGTGATTTTATGAAAAATCTATTAAAATAAGTAGAGAAATATAGATTTATACAAATATTGATTATATGCTATTTAATATTTTCAGAAGTAACTCATAATATATATAGAATCACCATATGCATTTAAATTTTCTATAACTGCTGGACTTTGGTGTAAATGCTGTAAAAAGTTAAAATTAAAATCTTGGAATTAGCTTATAGATTTATATTTTAGATTCAATATAACAGGAAAGCTTTATAAATTACTCTTATTCTCTATTCTTAATCTTGCATATATTTTAAACATCTATTGAAACTGTATGTATAGTTTCATTGAAAATTTATTTACTGCATTCTCTTAATAATGACTTATTGTCTGTAAAAGGACAATATGTATATCTCTCTAAAAATTGACTGCAATTATATCTTATATTTAAAATTTTTACTGCTTTTTGTTGAGCTTACTTTTGATTATAAATACCAAAACCATTTCCTTGCCTTACTTTAAATGCCATTGTTCAGTTTTTAAATTTATATCAGTGGTTCCCAATTAGTTTTTCCTGCATACCACTTCAAGAAAGAGCTCAAACTCACATACCTCTTATAGCAGAAATCATAATAATCTATACTAATATTATAAATTTGAAAGTAATTCTGTCTGTCTGTCACCTTTTCACATCTAAACCCCTAAGCAGGTTTTAATAAAATTTGGCACAGAGATAGCTTACATGTTGGAGATGGACGTAGATTACATTTTACTGTGAGAAAATATCTTACTCCCACAAGAATATTTGATATAATGCGGGTGAAGCTGTGGGTAATGATAGACAGCTAGTGATAAATAAAGAAAGTTTTTTTTACATTTATTATCTTTAGAATACTATTCTAATAATAATGAAAATAACATAAGGTTATTTAATTTTAATGTGACGAATGTGCACGATTTTCTTTGCACAACTTTGTAAAGTCTGGTTGCTTTTTGGTCAGCTTCAGTCTCAAGTCATCTTCGAGTTGAAGTTGGTGATGATGATTAGTTTTCATGTTTGTCATGGCTGAAAATTTGCTCTCGCAGAGGTATGTTGTGCAAAATGGTAGTAAATATTTTATTGCTGCTTTGCTGACATAATAAATGTCTTTTAGGTCAGCCCAAAAATTACTCAGTGATTGCTCTGCAAAACAACTCTTGAGTCTGCTGTTGCATGAAATGTCTATTAATTCCTCTTGGTCAGAGATGGGAAGGTGGTCGGTGGAGTTATTTGCCACAGCGACAAAAATTTTCAAAATTAATTTCGCAAGAGCAAACTGTGTTAATTGTACAATTTTTGTTTCTTGCATAAGAATTTCATTTAGGTATTGTAGCAAATGCATTTTTTGATGAAATTTCGAGAATTTTTTTAGTTATAAATAAACGAATTTGTGCATTCAACATCATGTTGTAAATTGCCAAATTTTTGATGGTCCACTCGTTATTTTTTTTTATTGCTTCATCTCATATATTTAAATTTTAAATCAACTGATTTTAGATTGCCGCGCATACCCCTTCATGCAATTTCGCGTTCCCCTAGGGGTATGCGTACCACTAATTGGGAACCATTGATTTATATAAAATAAATATAATGCAATTTTACAACATTTGTTAATGTATTCATCCTTATTCATGAAAATTTATTTTGGTCATGCCATTCTACAAACCAATTGTAAATGGTGATCTCAAATATTAATAGTTTTACTAAAAATCTCCTTAACAGTTTTGTGTTAATTAAAAAATATGATAAATTGTTAATTAATTTAATACGTATACCTTGCAGAAAATTATCAGAACAAAACTTTCATATAACATGCCCACTGTATACCTAATGCCTATGAGATGAACAACCCATATACTCACACCTATGCAGTAGGCGAGTTCATAATTGCAATTTAAAAAATCAGCTTGTAACCTGTCTCATTGCATAACCTACATGTTTTATATAAGAAAATACAGTAATTATTTGGACCTAATCTGATGTTTTTTGTAAAATATTCAGTATTTAGGACAGTGTTTCTATCTTTTTCTCATCATAGTCCAGTAAAATTATGGATGATTTTACATAGACCAGTAATTATATGCAACTATGAATTATGCTTATTTATTATGTTTATACTACTGTGATGAAAAAGTGTTGAGAATGGTTCAATTAAACTGCACGTTCTAGAGGGCACTGTCGTCATTTTTTCATTGTTTGGTAACGACTTTTATCAACATCTAGCAATAATCCATGTGTCATCATCTGTTTTCATTTATAAATAAATGCTTGTTTCGTATGTAACAAATTTTTGCACCAGTAATTTTTCAAAATGTGTATAAATGAGCAAAGAATGTACTATACTGTACATTAAATTTTGTTTTTGCACTATTATTGCTACACAAACATTGGAAAATGTTGCAAAAGCCTTTGGTGACAATAGTCTATCAAAAAGAAGAGTTTTTGAGTGGTACAAGATGTTCAAGGAAGACAGAGAACTTGTTGATGATGAATCATGCTTTGGTAGCCCATCCACTTCAACTGATGAACAATACAGCACTTGAGTCAGTGATTTGGTGCTCAATGAGTGTCATTTAACAATTAGAGACATTATTAAACATGTTCCAAAATCATTTGAATCTTGTCAAGCAATTTTAAAAGATCATTTGGGCTTGTGGTACATCACTTCTCCAGTCATCCCAAAAATATTGAATTTTTTTCCAAAACCCAACAATGTGCTCAAATGGCTAAGGAAATGCTTTCTAAAGGCTAATCATTCTTAAAATGCATGATTACAGATGATAAAACATGGATTTATGCTTTTGACAACAAAATAGCTCAACAATCAAGTGAATAACGTTTGAAAGGTGAAGCAAGATCAAAAATCCATGTCAGTCAGTCAAAAATGAAAGTCACATTAACTGTTTTCTTCAATGTGTTTGTGTTTTGCTGTGTTGTGCATCACAAACTCCTTCCAACTGGCCAAACCGTCAACAAAGAATACTATTTGAGCATTTTGCATCATTTGCTTTAAGAAATTCATAGAAAACGAGCAATTATTTATTGTGACATTGTCACAATGCCAAGCTGCAATTTTTAATCATATTTTTAATTTATTTAATTTAAAATATATGCTCTCTACCTTAAACTAGTAGTTTCTTACCCCTGTACATCTTATTTTTCCTATTAGATAGATATCTGGTATGATTATTCTAACTCCTTTAAGGGGAATTTTTGAATTGAAATAACAACTTCTGGTTTGCATCAGAAGTTCTTATATAGTTAATTGGGGCTTCTTGCCTCTAAGGTTTCCATATATAGTCTCAGATTTCATCTATCTAACTCTGTTCTTGAGATTAAGAAAACATGGACAAACAACAATGGGAATTTATAGATCTACAATTTTTTCAAATTGCAGCTCAACAACCTGATTTGTGTTAAGAAAACTCTGGATTTTCCACCACAATAATGCAACTGCTCATAATGCTCTTGTTCATGAATTTTTGGCCGAAAATTTAACAAATATGATTCTGCAAGCTCTGTATTCACCTGATATGGCATTGTGTGACTTTTTCCTGTTTCTTTGACTGTAATTTCCACTTTGTGGTCACTGTTTTGACTTGATTGATGCCATCAAACAAACTCACTACAAGTCCTGAAGGGGTTTCATGAAAAAACGGCATAAGTGCATTGCACTGGGAGGGAGCTGACTTTGAAGGGGATAAAATAAATTTTGATGAATAAATTCAAATCTTGCATTTTATTGAACCATTCCCAATACTTTTTGATCACAGGGGTATATGCTTATCTAGAGTTACTGTATGTAACAAAGTATGTACAGTAACTCTAGATTACTATTTAGATGTCACCTGTAATCAACTGTACCAGCATTAATAGAGTCAAATATTTTTCTGCAGACTGGTGATTGAAAAATACTAATTTAGAGAAATTAATCTGCATTATTATTCTATATAAATAATGACTTTCTGAACATTTCCAATAACAAACTCCTTAAAATTTCTTCACAGTTTAGTGAAAAATCTATGGTACAACCAGAGCCATACCTATGAGACTAAGAATTGGCTAAGTTCCCTTAGCAGTGCCTATATGCAGTATAATATTCTTTTGTTTTTGTCACATAAAATTAAGCTACTATTGTTACAGTTGAACTGTAGCTAATTGGCCTAGTGCTGGCTGAAAAAGAAAAGAACACTAGTCACAATTTTTTCAGCTTGCTCCTCTAGTCCTCAATCCTTTCACTGGGGGCTAGAGGAGCAAGTTGGATTTTTGCCTTACTATCAAGAAAATAAACTTAAAAGAAGGAAGACAGAGTTAAGCAATTTATCATTTGTGTAAAACAAGTATTTCCAATTTAATAATTTAGTTTGAACATAAATCTGCTGAATGTTATTCAGAACTGTTAAAAAATAGTGTTTCTTTCATAAACCAGGTCATAATGTAAATATTGAAAAGAATCTTTTCACTAATTGCAACTCAATAGACACATGAAAGGAACTTACAGTATTTAAAACAAGTTTGGTGAAGAGTTTAACAATGCTCCAATACAATTTCAAGATGTTTTATTTTTATAAATATAATATTAAACAAACCAAAAACTGTTAAAAGAAAATCAAATCTGATAAGTATAAATAACATCTCAAATGTTATTTCAAGCAACTTTAGTTTCATTTGGAATAAAAAATAATCATTCAAATGACTTTTTTAAACTGTATTTTCCTGTTTCCTCTTTATCATTTTGTTTATAAACCATTGTTCTCCTTTTTTAACCTATATACATCAGGCCATCTTAAATACTTATGGATAATTTCTTAACAACAGGAACAAAAAGAAAAGTGAATATGCATATAATAGTATATTAATATAGTTGAAAGATAAACTAAAAAATAATTATTAATATGATATATTACTGAAGAAAATAAAAAAAAATTGTCTTATAGAAGAAACAATACATAATCAAAGTGAATCCCATATAACA